CATCCCGGAAAGTGAAAGTGTCGTCTATCGCTGTTAACCGTCATGCATCTGTCTGCTCACTGCTAAGGTAAGGTGAAGCAATATGGCTACGTACACACATTATTTTGTGGCGCTGTGTCTATCGTTCATGCATGTCGTGAAGAGCTCTTCTCTCTTACAAAACTACTACCAGATACCTGTAACTCGGCATCGCCTCGGGTATGTCTACGCTGATGGTATCGCCTCGGCACCTGTGCAGATCGACATGTTCCTATGTCTACAGTCCACAGAAGACGGTAGACCGCTTCAAGTAATTTTAGATACTGCTGACCACTACGGACCACGCTTGGTACGACTCTCCCTGCACGGCTTTCCACTGCCCCACGTACAATCATCGTATCTAGCCACGCGGGTATGTATTTGTTCGTTCTAACTTTTTAAGATGAAACTATCCTCAACACTATCATCACCACCCTCCGAATGACAATGGGGATCCACCGAGAAGGGTCAGTTACACCGACTCGCTTCAATAAGACAGTAAACTTCAGCCAAACCCATTAAAAACACCATAATTTGTAATTCTCTTATATGGCCGTAGCCAGCAGAGGGTGGTGGCTCTCGGCTGTGAACTGTGACCCACGAGTCGTAGATTGCCATTGATATGTAATGTTTACAGTACGGACACTAAAATTAACTTGAACCGCATTCATATTAAAACTATATCCGTCTACATATACTCTTACGATGTTCTGTGACCCACATCAAAACAAGAACAACCCTTTAAACAAAGCAAAATGTAGTCGTATAATACGCAGTCCCATTAAGCTATTTCAATTAACGTGTTTCAGTGAAGTAGAATATCATTACATTTGATACTTGACACTTTAGTGTTTGCTTTTTAAGATAAACATAGTTTATCACTATAGATATTTTTTGTTTTCAAATTTGTTAAATTCTTTGACAAGAAAATTCAGTGGTGTATTAAGAATAATTCATAATGAAATGTTTTTCATTTGTAGACCAATGATAATTATAATTTTACATAATTAGACAAGATTATGACAGAAAACATATTTTCTATATTCTCTATATATTTGTGCATTTTATTTGTTTCGAATTATGAATGAGAGAAGCTGAATGAAATTACAAACTGTGTCGTGTGTTCAACAACTTGCGTATGGAAAATAAATACTTGGTAAAATATTTGCATAAAAACGAATGAATTTCACAATGTCAGACAAAATTATGTATACAATATATTTAAGTCACCAACACAACACATCAAAACATTTTTTTTAATAATTCATGTGTAGTGTGAATAATAATGAATATCTCCTATAAACTGTTGGCAATGAAACCAACATCAGTGTCCACGGAGAATGTAAATATTACCTCTGACAAATTTCATATATTTTCATTGTATTCTGTAAATGCTCGAATAAATGTTTCTCTTGGTCTGGAAATTGATAGGTACAACATAAGAGTGCCCATATTTCACTACCATCAGCCTGATTGTCACAATACAAAGTATTGCCCCAGGAGGTATTCGTTGTTATCTCAACATTTCTATGGGCAATGCTTCATGAGCTGATGGTATGTGGCCTAAATACGTTTTACTCTATATCGAATTACGGTATCTTATGGCACTGAATCCATTCCAAATTTGAGATTTAAATGTATCTATTTTATTATTATATTTCCCATTCAGTTATTAAATTCATAAATTTTAGCATTTAATTTGTATTCACTGTTACTCACTTAAGGGGCTTCAGATTTGTGATAAATCATGACAGACGACAGTACGCTTGATCGACGACGCTCCCACTCAATCGAACGATCTTGCAATAACAAGAAGGCATTTGACAATAATTCAGAGACTATTAGATTCTAGTGATACCCTCGACCGCCATGTTTTATAACAAATTTGAGCTCCCTAATTGAATGAAAGTGACTTTCTAGCCGCATTTCATAGTTTAATAATACAAATATACGATTTAAATATACAAATTTAATAATAAAAATGATGAAATGAAAAATGTAAAAATTTTAGAATTTAATAATTAATAATAATTAATTTAATGATAAAATAAGAATTTAATAATTAAATACCAAATTCAATAATGAAATATATATATTCAATGAATAAATAAATGCCAAATTAAATAGTCTAATGATGGGCGGCATGAACTAAACGTCTTCCCCGGATATCACATGCCAACGAGATGTTCTATATATATATCGAAGCTTACATACTCCTCCTGTTCCTCTTTGATCACTTCTCGTAATCGATTGAAAAAATAACGTCGTACCATGCTTGAAATGCTGTAGTCTTCTCACGCTATCTTAGCGTGAATAATCAACCATACCTCCATAGCGTAGCCATAAAAAATGGACACTACAATAATTGACTTCCCGTTTCACCTGGCCAGTGAACCATGTCGGATAGAAGTAAATGCATAAAGTTGTCGTGAAAACAGACGTCATTTACAAGTCACGTGACTCAACTCTTCAAGGTCGAACATTCGGGTAAATTCTGCAGACAAAACCATAGCAACAAAATTTATATTATTCTTCCTAAAAAATGCTAAAACTGCATTGATTAGTAATATCCCGAAATGAAATACCAGGATGTGAGACTTTGAGAATGAGACGTTGTTTTTTTTACTCAGTCTGCTTCTAAAAAGCAATTCAGTGTTGTTGACATTCGAAAAAAATCACAATAACGAGCTCGTGCTTGTATGCCGGGGCAGAGAGATACAGTCATGACACGATCAATATACATATAGTGACATCAGTACTACGCCAATGTACAGCTAAAATGAAGCTCACATATGTAATTTTCTGCTTCCAAAAAACGTATTACTGTGACTGTTACTATGTATTGCATTTCTTTATGGCTTGATATCAGTATCCGTGTACCAAATACTGGCCTATAAAAAAATGCAGTTCCATTACGTAGTAAGCGTTGATGTTAGAAAATGGCAGACGCCTGTTGAGTTGAGAATCAAACTGCCTAATGGTCCAATCACCCCCCCCCCCCAATACACCCCTTTAGGTGTTTTCCCTATTTCATTTCTTTGTCCCACATGTCGAGTTACCGGCATTTCTAGAGATTCAATAACAGTCTCATTGCAAACAACAGCATGGCTAACCCGATATCATATGTCATAGTGTCAATATGGGCAGATGTTTTATATTTTCAAAGTGCTGTTCAATATTCTACACGCGGTTATGATTTACATAGTTAAACACGTTGTTTTTGCAATACACAAAATTATAGTCTTCCAATGGCGTTATAAACCACGAAGACACTCATGAACTACGAATTCACTGTACATACCCGTGTTTTGGAGTATATCTTCATAATTTAATTATTTCATCACCAACATTATGTCGTAATGGTTTTCTATAAACGCCTATGATCGATGGCCGGTTTATCATTCTGATAATTTAACGTTATTCATACGTCACTAAAACCTTTGGGCGCTAGATATGCACAGTAATTGTGTATTGTGAAATAAATAAACCGTGACGCACACAAATGTATTCACTGATATTTTTAAATAAGGAATTACGTAAATGTGCGTGTGCGTTGTATCCCGGTACGTACTATTTATCCAAAGAGCATGCGCATTTTCATCAAACGAATTTTATTTTGTGTCTAACAAAATCATTGTTTTTACTCCACCGTAACGATGCGTTGCAGGCAACTCGTGTCGTTGACAGTCTAATGCCAAAGAAGACAGTGGAGTACATGCAAAGTTTATTCCAAGATAAGATTGAGTATTCAGTGAATACGACAGAAAGTGACATCATCAAGTATGTACATTTCGTTCACTTTGCGTTATTCAAACTGAAATCACATTGACGTCATATCACACCAATCATTTCAGATACTAGTACATTTGCATAACATAATTAAGAGCAGCTTTGTCGGATATATGCTTGTTTTTGTTTTTTGTTTTTTTCTCATGAGATGATTTGGTCATAAACGCTACATGCAAATTAGTAAGATGAACGGTTAACGCATTTATGAAAAATAACTGTTTCGATTTGTTGTCATTTTTCAGAAATCCAAGATGGCGAAAAAATCATATTTGTTTCTCGTAAGAAGCTATGGCCATATATGTTACATGCCAAATATGCATTTAATCGGTTAAAACACTCATGAGAAACAAATTCCTCGAACTATATTCATTTTTGGCGAAAGTTCAAGATGAAGGAGAAATCATAATTACTGCTCTGAAATACTTGTTAGGTGAAGGAGTTTGTTACAAAGATGCAACATGGCAATTTTCGAAATAAACGGATAAATGTGGCATCAGTAAAATAATTACTTCCTGTTTAATAAGAAATCAAAGATGGCAGACAAACGCACGTTTCTATAACAAAGAACTTCGCAAACATTAATGAGCATTATACATAGATGCTAAAAAAACAAATTTCAGATCATATTCTTCAGTGGTTCTGAAAAAGATTTTAAACTTTTTTTTGCCATTTTTCGGGAAAAAAAATATGGCGGAAAAGGTCACATGACTAATAACGTTTCGTGAAATAGATTGCAATCGAAAACAGTCCCCAAAGTCGGTCAATGCGCATGCGCCAATGGAATCACGTCCAAACTAACCTTAGGCTGCTATAGCTAAAATGACAGGCTGAATTACTTGTTTCTAATTATACGTGGGTTGTTATGATGCACGTGTGAATACAAATTAATTCACTCTTACTTTTAATTCGATCAAATATAATTATCATATCCCATGAATCTATTTTGTGCATTTCACATACCACAGTGCATTGGCTGAGTTGGCAACAGGTCTGAGTTCGAATATTACACGTGACTCATTTTATGATAAGTTTGAAGACGAGAAGACAGGACATCTCTGTGTGTATGAATGGCAATCAGCAATACTACGTAAGTTCGTATCGCACCTTTCTTATTTTGAAAATGTTTGTAAAGCAGAATTATTTCAAAACTGGAACACTTTATTTGTTTTGTATATTTATGTTCACATTGTATGAGTCATTTATTACTCAGGTGGTGTGTATCAAACTCCGTGGTTTCTGATTAATGACATGCCGATCTTAGACTTTCGTCCAGACTGGACGCTCAGTAATTGGACAGCGATTATTGATCCACTGTTAGAAGATTACGAAGAACCCGGTGTAAGTATAAACGTCAGAGGGTGTATAAATCACGCATTCAAAGCAAATTGGGCTTCAAGAAGAAGTTGAAAATAAATGTATTATTTTGCACTAAAAATTACCAAAATATATGCTATATTTGCAACACAGTTACCATGTACACACGCACAGGTTACACTGACGTAACAGTGTCATACATTTAGCATCGACGTAAAAATAGTATACCAAACTTCTAAAATACGTCATTGTGTTCAGATTGACCAAGGCATCAACATGGCAGTATCGTGGTTTCTGCAAATAGGCAAATACGTCTTGTGAGTTTGTATTTTTATCTGTTATTTGCATTCCCATGTACATTTTAAACTAATCTTTCATTGTTCAGGTTGGTCCACCACTGCCGACATGCTTACCAGGCGAACCCGGATGCGTCATTGAGCCTCCATGTGGTACACCAAATGCTGCACCAATCGCGAACTATGATTGGATGATGGTTGTCTTGGCAGCATTGACATCAACCTATTAAAAATGGCGGAGTAATTATAATAACATGATTCAATTGTTCATTGCAACTCACGTGGTGTACGTGAGACTTTTATTTACATGCTATTTTAGTGAATTTGACTCAATGCTGAATTGTCAGAATCCTAATTTAGCTAACTTGAAAGTGCCAACAATCTCATTCTCAGAATGAACTTTTTTAAATTAACGAAATCTTGAATTGACATTATTGGCATCATATCGCTGTATTGTATATCTACATATACTTTCAAAACAATCATACTAAGATTGTCTTGGCAGCATTGACATCAACCTATTAAAAATGGCGGAGTAATTATAATAACATGATTCAATTGTTCATTGCAACTCACGTGATGTACGTGAGACTTTTATTTACATGCTATTTTAGTGAATTTGACTCAATGCTGAATTGTCAGAATCCTAATTTAGCTAACTTGAAAGTGCCAACAACCTCATTCTCAGAATGAACTTTTTTAAATTAACGAAATCTTGAATTGACGTTATTGGCATCATATCGCTGTATTGTATATCTACATATACTTTCAAAACAATCATACTAAGAACACAGTGAGGGTAATACCATATTTAGCAGTAAATAATGGTACAGATTAATATGTGTTGTTGGATTAACCATTACTACTGTTTGATTCCTCAGGGGGGGTTGAAAAATGTATTCAATTTGTTTTTGTATAATATAAAAAAAGCATTGACTTAGTCCATAAAAAAGTCCTGTATCCGCCCCTGTTGTTGTATTTTCACCCTGGGTGGTAATCTCCTTCTTACAACCTGGTCATCTTCACCTCCGTCGACCAGGCCATAGTGACACAGAGCTTAGTATAACCACTACTAATACTAATAGTACTCCCAACTCCAACCTGCGCATCAATTCTGGCCTCCAAGTAACAAACGCACGCCACAGCGCCCTCTTTATTACTTATATAGTGTTTAAACTATTTTAAACCGTGCACGACGTAATAATCATAATCAAGGTTTTTGAAAATTGTGTTCAAACGCATGAAATTATATCTAGAAGTTCGCCAAACCGACCTGTTTCCCGATATTTCATCTTTGTATCCTAATAATAACCATGAAACTAAACAAGTAATGCCGAGTTTTGAAACAACAAAGCCATGAAATGTGAGTTATAAATTGTTATGCTTGAAAGGTTATTCATTTATAAGTCATTTTGAAAGTTCTGGGCCATTTGTTTTGTTTTTTACACATGAAATACACGTTAAAATGAATACTCATATTGACATATCTTGTAAATTTACTTTTCACAAGCATATTAATATTTTTTTTATTTTGATGTAATTCATACCCAATGTATTTACATTGTTTGTTTGTTTGTTGGCTTGACAGTCAACAGTAAGTATGTGAACTTATGCATAAAAACATCATTCTAAAAGCCGTTTCCATGGACCATAATGAAAACACATTTTCTTGTTAAGAAAACCACTAAAAATATTTTTTTAATATTTCTAGAAATCCAAAAGTATTTTGTAAAATACACAATATCTGTTTTACTATGCGTCACCAAGCAATATTTTGAAATATTACAATATATATACTGGAAACAACGGTAAAATGCTCTAAACAGATAAAATGCTATTTTCACTCCATTTTTGCATCGATTTTCTTCAAACTCAATAGATGATTCCATATTTTAAATTTTTTTTTTTTCATCTTTGTAATGTGATATATACATTTGTAAGAATGACGATTATGACAGTGTTTTACTTTTATGTGGCACACTGCCTTGCATATTTTTCGTTGTTTACATTGCAGTCTTTTACTTGAGAAGGGTCAAAAAAGTATGGAGATTGTACGAAAATTGGCAGTTGTCAACTTGAAGTAGGTAGTTTGGTCACAGATGCCCAATAATTAGGGTATATTTTTAATTAGCGAGCTATCCAACGTGCCACCCAATAACTCGCATTTACGCATGAGACTGTACATAGAATCAGAATATAGTACTTCTTTTACTGGTATATGTACTTGTTTTGCTCTAAACCATGGATTGTAGCTACTGATCTTGTTTGGCCAGTGAACTCGGTTCCAGACTTTTGTTGCCGCGACTCTGCCTAAGGTGCCCGGCGAGCCACTTGTCTCTATGTATAATAGGTACCGCTGAGGGCAGTAACTGCAATCGTAGAGTCTACAGAAGAGGATAAGAAACTGGGGCATTCACTTTGATGTCATGTTTCCAGTAATCCTTATGAAAATTCACTACTACTTTGTTACTTCCTCTTTTATCGTTATGCGTGATGACGGAAGGACTACAATGTTGACAGGAAAAATGTGTAAACAGGAGAGCCCAAAGTTTCCACACACTAATTAAATTTCTAAACAGAATACAACTTTTATGTGACTGGTGATGATACGTATTTACCTATATAGTGACGTAAATATTGTCACAGTCGAGGATGTTTTATATTTCCGAGCAAAATAAGACTCGTTCCAAAACGAGCGAGTTCAAATATAAAATCCATTTAGCATAATGAAACTGTATGAAGTAAAAAGTATTTTTTTGGCTGCAATACCGAAATATGACTGCAATAATAATTGATACCATATGGTTCGATCATAATGAAACCCAATCAAAATTATTTATTTACATTTGTATTAGATGTTTTAAAAGACTCTAAAATACATGCCCAATAAAACCCCTGTCACACCATCCAATTTGACTTTGAGTGTAAAATGAACATCGAAAATACGTACATCAAAGAAGTTTTCACACATAGTATTGGGTTTATGCAGTCATACTAGGCTAGATATCGTGATTGGCGTCACGGGAACTGCTACAATCGGTGGAAGATATCAATCAGTGAAAACAAGCTGGAATGGCTGGAAATTCCCACGTGAATATAAACAGGTTTTTGCATGGTATCATTTGATATTGTTGACTATATCTTCTATCAAGACACCCGGACTTTCATATCACAAAGACCGACGGTGTCGCGTGCAAAAGTAGGCTGTCCGAAGGATGCCCAATGTGACTGAAATTTGAAATGCTTACAAATTAACACCATTAAAGATGCAATGTGTATGTTTGTTATTGTTTGATAAGGCATGTTATTGACCAAATTGCATTATGTCATTTTTCGTGTTCGTTGGATGAAAAATAAACCTATGTGTTAAATCACAGTGCACTTTGTGGCGTATTACGTACTTTTCTGATAAACATGTTTTACTGGAGTGTCCTAATGGTTCACTTTTTCAGCCAGAGGTCAATAAATGAAACAAAAAGACATAAGGTTGTGGAAGCACATAGAAAAATAAAGAATCCCTGGTTAGACAAAAATGACCAGTCACTGACCAAACATTGGGTGTTTAAACAATTCTATCATTATGATAACACATTGTATACTTTTCAATTGATATCCCGATATAAAATATATTATTGATAATCAATGTACACACCTGTTCACACTCATATTTATATATTGGAATAGATCTTTGCCATTTAGTTACAATTTACAACGCCTTACAGCTGTAATAAAAATTAACAACTATTTTCACTGTTTAGTGATGTTGCTCCAACTATTCTCTGTGATAGTGTTTCTAGAAGCATTGATATTCGGTCAAACATATGCCAACTACTATCAATTACCAATCCCTTCACCGAAACTGGGCTACGTGTACCATGGGGGTAATGCCGATGCACCAGTGCATATTACAATGTATTTCGACTCTCAGTGCTCTGATAGTAAGATGGGATACCAAGGGGTATTCGATGCAGCTGATTACTATGGACCAGATGTCGTGTATTTAGTGCTGCATGGACTGTCACTTCCTTATTTCAGAGGTTCCTTTATTTCACTTCAGGTAGGTAATTTTCAAATTGACGTTAGACGCAAATTATATATACGGATTGCCGCAGGCGCTTGGATCTTGTTATAGTGAGAGATCTCGAGATTTACGAGACACGTTATTGCCCACCATGTGTCCACTGTTCCGAACACCATTCCATGGCTGCTTGACGCGATGACAAGAGAGAGTGACATGCTATTTGAGAGACAAACATAATTAGGTCTCGTGGTTCTCTTGCTCTCAGCGTGATCTTTGCGGTCATTTATGTAAAAAGTTTATTGTATTATCATCGCTTTCAGTAAGCCTAGAGTCAAGAGAATTATAAAATGGATGTACTGTGATGAATTTGTTTTTGCGTATTTGTTGATCGACTTAATTAGCTGATTACTAACGAATGGCTGGGGTGTCTGTCATCGTTTCGGCCCATTTGAGGTTCTGGACGGAAATTAGTGATTTGGAACTAATTACGAGATAACCGTCGCTATTCGGACTACTATTTCTGACAGTTAGTATTCGCAGTTATTAATGTAGTGAACGATTAATCAAAAGATATGACGTGTTCAGTACTTAGTGTGATTGGCTGTATGTGTGAAGGTTACGTCCTAGAGTTTTACTACTGCTTTGTAATTGCTTAAAGTTTTGAAAATGAATAAAGTTGTTTTTAGTTGGTCTTGGCGAGTACACCACGACAGACACAGTCCAGTCTTGGTTCAGCCTTGCAATAGTCTTGGGGACTTTTCCCCAGGGCGCTGTGTCTTATAGAGTGCTCGACTGACCGACTAAGACGAGAGTTAAAACGTATTTTGTTGTGTGCGTCTATTTGACTTTCCCGATCCCGTACCTCAAGGGGACGCAATAGTGTGGAGAACCCCAGAGAAGAAGAATTTCCCCCTGATAGTACAGTCACAGTCACAATTTTTAGTGTACAACTCCACGACAGATTTCTAAGAAACAATCATCAGACACGCACTGACGTCACCATTCTGCTGAATGTTACGATCTCCGCTAGCATGGTATCCTACTTTACAGTGAATGCCGAAAAAGGATAAAGAACACTACCCTGGATGAGTATGTCACCGTGACGGACTCAGTGGGGGGGGGGGTGTATGAGTTTGACCGGGGTTGGTTAACATTTAAAATTGATATGTGAAAAGGATTAAGTAACGAATGAAGGAATTCAACCACCAAAGAATAGTTCATAGTGTCAAATTGGTTGTGTTGCCAGAATAATTACCTGATCTTGACGGTTGGACCAAAAAAATTGTCTCTCGTCCTAGGGATATTTTTTTTTTTTGTATTTGGATTATTCAATCCGCAACAAGAAGATGCTATGGAATACTAGTACATACATTACAGGTTGATTTGGAGAAACAAAACATTCTCTGAAACATAATCAAACAAATTCACCATCCTACCATATGTGGCACACTTTACCGGTACGTAAAACTGCTAACAGAAAATGCGCAACGCGCAGGCTCTAAACGGAAGCGCGTGATGCCGAGAAGCAAAACTTGTCCCTGGTCAATTATTACTTCTTCTATCACCTCGGCTACGTCAACTGGTTCTATGACGTCACCTGGGTATATCAGGATGAATAGAAATTCATAGTACGCTACAAATTGATTAGCATTGAAGCGTGGTGGTCGTCGCGCCGCGTCCTGTTCGATATGGGACTCATAGTGACATATACAAGCCTGTAAAATACATTGTTTGTTTACATGGAATTCGAACGTGCGATACGCGTCAATCACTATTCGTACTGACAAGACAATTAGTCAGCGAATTTGTATTGTACGATGTTTTCGTATAAGTAATTGAGTAAATAATTCAGATTCTTCTGGTAGTTACATGTACATAAATCTGGTCATCTTAAAGCGGGGGAGTCGTCACCTGCGCATGCGTCAGATGGCCATAGCGTGATGTTGTTTACAAACAAGCGTCTGCCCATAAGCCTTTGCGTTTTTAGCGTGTGTTGTTATTGTCGCCTGGGACTCAATTCCCGCGCGTGCGCAGATGACGAACCTCCCGCTTTAACATAACCATACATTTTAAAAACTGAAAACATGAATTGTAACAGATTTATGAATATTTAAATTGTACCAGCACACATAGTGTGGTTTCTCACGCCATTTCTGGGCGATATAAAAGTGTCTACTTTCTTATGTTCAACGAAACGGAGTACAAAATCTGCTGTTCGACCACCATTCTCAACATAACTATGACGAGTACATTAACGGACACAAATTAAAACAAGAGATTGATTCACTGGTCATCAAAATACTTCGGGAGATAAAAGTTTGCTTTCTTTAAGCCACTGCGGAAAACAGTTCATATTGACTTTTTCGTACCAAGATTATCCAAATGATGCACAGGAACAGCACACATGCCGATTGATGTTATGTGCCTTAGTTTATTATCCTTCCTATTACAATCCATGCTGGTACATACCTTCTTTTCATAATTGCTTTTTAAATACTCTGCATGTAGGCACTGCGTGCTGTTGATCAGCTGAACAAAACAAAGACAGTGGAATATCTTCAAATTTTATTCGATAACCAAGACTTAATTTCCGGGTCACCTGATACAGTTAGTGATGCTGACATGATTGTGTAAGTATGACGTAAAGATCACGTGTTGACCCTGGAAATAAAGTGAGATATTTCGGGATAGCAAGAGTTGAATGTGAGTCAGTTGAGTTATATTTACTCACTGTATTTATATAGACGTGGTAAAAGTTTATCGTAGTCTTGTACATCAACAATTACTTATATGAAGAGCCCGACTCCCTCCTCTTTGATGACATTGGAACTAAACACACAAAAACATATCATGCTTTAAAAGGCGGTGGTCGCCGGGCTACGCGTGCGCGATATATGAGTTACATGATGTGAACAAATATGGCGACTTTGACCTCTGCACAGACCGGCGAGTAGAAACTGAGATGTTGCTATGCTTTAACTAGGTAATTTCTTTGGTGATAGAGTATTGAAGGAACCACCGGCGGTAGTTAATGCACGTCGTACTCGTGATTTCCTTTAGAAGAGCGCATTGTATTGTGGGGAATTCAATATGTATCAACACTAATGTCGCATACGGGGGCGCGACGACCACCGTCCTTTAAACTGGCTGTTATAGGCGTGGCCATGATCATGGTTGATAGGGACACTACCAGCTAACACTTCTTTTCAATGTTGTTAATATCCGTTTGGTAGTATATAATTGTATCTGTGACAGTTTGCTTGGGGTTACATTTATACATAATTATAATGAAGTAACATCTGTTTGACCACCATGGCTTACGGCACCAACGTCAGATATTCGTTTTTTAATAATGTCCACAAAATCGAAACGCTTCAGAATGTGTTCACGATGTTGAAACTATTTATACCAATTGGTTGTTGCTATTGTGTCACATCGCCCTGTTCAAAATCACGCGATTAAATAATTAACTAAAGATATTTTAATTGAATCTTATTTTAGCCCTTATTTTGCAGAATACTGACTGACTTTGCCGTTGAGGTAGGCTTCACCGAAGAAGAATTTCTTGAAGAATACAACCACCCGAAAACCAATCAACTGTGTCGGCATGAAATGAAAATGGCCAATGATCGTATGTAAAATTTCAATAGGCCGTTTGCGAATAACACTGTCTGAGTACATCATCAAATACGCCACATTCAGCCTCGTTCGTAGATAGTCGTGTTGTAATCGCTAAAATATACCACTCCATCGACATATTTAGCCTCGTTCGCAGATAGTCGTGTTACAATCGCTTCCTCTCCATCGACACATCAGAAGATTGTTTGATTTGAAATACAGCAAAATCCTGAGAAAGTTGAAGTCGTTTGGTGTCGCCGTTGGTCGTGGTCGAAACATACTTCAAAAGGACATACACGCGCACATCGTCTATTACCATTAGTAATGTTTTGAGTGTACTGACATTAGTCGCCGCAATTTTATTTTATAATAGTTTCTTTGATAAAGAATAAAACTGTAATTTCGAATCAGATCCGAATTTGCTTTTATAAGAAGAAATTATTATATAAAACAATAAAATTGCCAGGACTGGCCAGTCTAAATTTAATCTTACTAGATTTGAAAACAGCTGAAAGTTCAAATCTAATCTGAATAATAGCAGCTTCCAAAGACCCTGGCTTTTTGTTTATAGTAGTTTATTTTAGGCATAGTATATATGTGCGCATGCCCAGTAAAATGTCGCGGTGATTATTACACACTGTGTATATTTTCTCTGTTTAACTGCAGGTGGAGTCTACGGGGGTCCATGGTTCGTTGTGAATGGCATGACTGTGCTGGATTACTACCCGTATTGGGATGTAGAGGATTGGATATCACTTATTGATCCACTGCTGGGGTAAACTAAGAAAATCAACACACAGCCAGTTTGGGAGAACAATAGTTTGATGTAAAAATGTTTTTTTTCTGCGTAATATGTAGTTTGCATGCTTGGATAACTTTGAGAATGTTTGTTTGTTTTTTTGGAAAATACGTCTTGAATAAAAACAATTCATCACATGCATACTCCCGCTATGGAAAATAAAACATAGCAGTTTGAAGAAAACAAACATCAATGTTTATATTGCACGCATTACATCGTACATGTATGACCTCCTTTTGAATAATGTTCAAATACTGTAAAATCCCTTATAGACATTTTGGGTGTTTTGTGTGGAATTTATTTCCACTTATTTTTGGTGAGTTGAATGTAAAACATATGAATCACTGAATATTATTTTCACTGAAACATTATGTCACCAAAAACAGAATTCCAAGTGACAATTCGCACAGAGTTCTGGGTAAATCAAGTGCGCATACTCATTTTCAGCCAATCAGGCGTGCCGTAACAGCGAGTATTTCCTTCATTATTATATACGTATATTATATACGTTTATTTATATACGTATAGCGGATGATTTTTTTTGAAAATTAGTATTTATTGATTTTTAGCCCCCAAGTGACTGTGATCTGTAATGGTGTAAGGGGTCTTGCCAGGCTTAAAGCGTTGTGATTTGATTTGACAATGTTATGTGCTTGATATGTATCTTTCTCTCAACGAAGAATCAGTGTCATATTTTGCTACTGACAGGCAGTTCGGGAACAGAGTCAATCCAACAAAAATAGGACGCTGTACTTGATTGAACTTGTACACGTTTTCTGTTCGTTTGCTGGGGGGCAAACAGATCGGCACAGAGGGTGTACTGGCTTGTAGAGCGGGCGGGATTGGGTCTGTACAAGTCTATACGGCATCTGTACAGACAATGATTGGACACTGTACAGAGACCGTGCCAAAATGTTCAGAACCCATAGGCCTACCAGATAAAACTATATGCTCATTCGACTCATGGGGGGGGGGGGGTGCGTGGATAAATTGTCACATCATATAACAATGTATGTGAACAATGCAAGGTGTGCATATTTCGGTGTTACTCATTTCGGTTCTGTGCATGTTTCAGCCAACATGCACAAAATAACCTTGAATATTACTGAAGCACAAGAAGCTGCCATCCAGACATTGTTTATTCACTCAGATTGAGTGGTTGGTTGTAGATGGGAATCAAAATGAAACACCACTTGAAGAATTCAGCGACGTTGTGATCATTTCTCTAGCTAAGCTTGGTTTTACTGTCAAATGTACCACTAATAATTTCCAAGAAGATATAGAAAATATGAACCGTTTGACAGCCAAACACCGAGTAAACAACGCAAAACTTTGCACGATACACAAAGTGAGACTCTATCAAAGCATCGTTCCCATTCCTCGTGGTATCAAACGTTAAGCAGGTAATTGCATGTGCATTTTTTCCAGAAGTAGGCAACACGTGTACCGGGGTATATGTATTTTGTATGTATCATATTATGCGAGTCATAATTGGTCGTGACAATCTTGGCTACCAATAAACCGCTGTAAACATTAGATAAGTCAATCGCTATTTACGTATATAACCTCATCATGGCTGCCTTGTTGATTTTAGCGTGTCGTAGTGTCAACCAGAAATACTGATTTTTAGCTCCGCTGTCGATTTTGTCAAGCGGAGCTTATTATACGAGTGATTGTCCATCGTCGTCCATGTCAACTTTTTTACTTTTTCGACTTCTTGTTGAAAACCACAATTCCAATTGCTTTGATATTACATATATGGGTACTATATGTGGACCTCTCTCGGTCTTGTTAATTTCGTGATGATATCTTCAATTCTCTAATTTTGATGAACATTTTTGTCATTTTTAGTAAAAAAGTGATATTTTCGACTTCTTGTTAAAAACCGTAAGTCTGAATGCTTTGATATTACATATATAGGTACTACATGTGGATCTCCCTCAAATTCGTTCATTTTGTGATGACATCTTCAATTCTCTAACTTTGATGAATATTTTTTACATTTTTGGTAAAAAGTGATTGCTTTGATATTATACATATATGTACTACAGGTATACCGATCTTAGATTTGTTCATTTCGTGATGATATCTTCAATTCACTAATTTTGATGAATATTTTTTTGCAATTTTTGATAAAAAGTGATATTTTCGAATTCTTGTTTATAAACACAAGTCAGAATGATTTGAAAAAATACATATAGGTACCTCACGTATACCTCTCTCAGATTTGCTAATTTCGTAATGATATCTTTAATTCTCTAATTTTGATGAATATTTTTGTAATTTTTGGTAAAAAGTGATATTTTCGAATTCCTGTTAAAAACCACAAGTCTGATTGCTTTGATGTTATACATGTAGGTACTACAGGTAGACCTCTCTCAGATTTGTTCATTTTCGAATGATATCTTCAGTTCTTTAATTGAAACGTGCATTGCCAACAGCGGAGCTATCTCAGCCGACAGGCTTCTGCTAGTTGTGTGAAGTGCGGTGCCTATCAGACAACACTAACAATCATCCATGCTTTACTTCACAGTTCATATTCAAATTTCTACAAAGGTTGAAAATGACAGCGATGGTGTTGTTGCTGCATTAGATCGGATGGTGACCCTGGAAATGGAAGTTTGTTAGTGCTCTCCGATGTGTATACTTCCTAATGAAAAGGACTAGCTGTGAACACTGAATTTTGCTTGGTAGTTCCTATGTAGATGCTTTGCATAACTCCAAACATAAATACAAATACATGATATTCTTATTCATTGGAAGTGGTCTATCAATAGTAACTATTTCTGCACATAATTTCAGTGATGGTTTTAAAATAAATATGTGGAGTGATATTTATTTTTCGTTTATTTATTCTATGGAAATTTTCTGATCAGCAACATTATGTTAATTACATGCAAATTAGGCACCCTGCTGATATTTTGATCCATGAAGAAACCTGATGCTATTCCTGGTTACATACAAGGTAATATTTCAAGAATCATTATTATAAAAACACAGTTGAATAACATATCAGTTGTGTTGATGCACTATCCACCTGGAGAATACATTTTGTATGCAGGGGTCAAACATTCATAGAGGCCATATAAATGATGCCCCAGCTTTAAAGTGATGTTCCTATGACAACATAATTTAATGCAGATAAAGTCACGACAGAAAATGATATCATATTTGCAATTTAAACAACTAAAAACATCACAAAGTGTTAAATATTACTAAAATATTATTTCAGTGATGTGTATCAGTGGCACATCTTTGTTTTCGTAAACTTCAAGGTGATATTTAAATAAAGGTTGAATTGACCATGTACTAGTATCACTTACATAAGTGAAATACATCTGAACCCTTGTGATTGTCTTGCTAATAATGTACATGGGTAGAACAAATTTCTAAGTTGCCATGGTAATAAAAAATAATCTACAAAAGTAAGATTATAAAACAAATAAATACTTAAAATAATTCCCTGAAACCTGCAGGTATGTATACTGTATACATTCATGAACACTTTTTTTTAATTACAGAACCCATTTTAACATAATGGCAGTATTACTATGGCAACACTGGCAGCCATTTTAAATGTATTATTTTAACAAATGTTTAAATAGTGTGTTACAAAGTACAAGATTTGTATCACCAGTTTTGAAATAAGTAACCAATTTTTATTGCTTAAATTAATCTACTTTTTAGGCCACAACTATTCAAAATTTGTATAAAATAATTTTTGTTTAGATTTTAAAAAACACAACATCTGTGATACACAGGTTTAACTAAAAACAAAAGATTGCCCCAATCTTGCCTAATGAGGGCAGTGTTACTTTTACTACCTATATACCTACAATTTTTGAGGTGTCAACTTTTACTTTGATAAATATTGTATCATCCCTGATGTAGTTTCTCAAATTTAGCTCCTCGTGAGATATTAAAGTCGGATACCCATACCCCAGTGTTATATTTTGTTTGCTTGGACGATGGAAGTTCTTCCATGAAGCATCAGCCGTAAAACTTTCTTTTATGTGTCTCCGCTTCTTCGCATCATCAGTCTGGTCTAATAAGGTAAATTCCACAGGGTGGGTGAATGGCCATTGCAACAGTGTATCATACTCCCCTGGGAGAATCTTGATATACAAGGAGAAATGTGTTCCCTCGCCACTGCCATTTCCGTTTAAAAAAGCGGTCAATCCAAGTTTATAGCCATATTTGCTGGTGAAGAATGGTTTACTACATAGTTCAGTTGTCTCCTTTTTGGCCTTGGCAAACAGAGATGAATAATTGTCAATCTTCCAGAGAAGAGTTCCATCAGTGTTTCCTGTCATGGTATCCAGTTCAGCTCGTAATGAAAGAATTTCTTCTTCTTGTCTCTTAGCAACCATGCACATCATCAGTAAGTGTTCTCTAGAATTGTTCTCTAAATGCTGCTCCAAAGCAAATCTTGGAGACTAAAAAAAAAAAGAAAAAAATATTTTGTTAAATGCGTTTTCTAATTATGCTGTCTGTCCATCATAGTGCATATGCTTGTTAGGTTTAAGAAGTTGTGGAGGTAATGCTGTGCCAATATAAAATACAATTGCCTTTCTAACATAGCAGCTGATGTGTTAAAAGAAATGTGATACCAGCAATAATTATATTAAAATGTCAGGTTCTGATTGGCAGTCTGTTATAGACCATTACCAGCACCATGCAACACATCTTGATTCCGTATATACAGTCTTGACCCCCTACTCTGTCGGTTGTGGTTATTTGAAGACTCTACACGCTTTTTGTCATACAGTTCACCAAATTTAACAAGTGTCTCCGTGTTTTAAACTGATCGCCGGCATGAGTGTTGGCAAGCCTAAATAGGTTTTGATTGTATACAGCGCCACCAGTGGCTGTTCCCAGCTCTATGCGTCTAGAACTGGCTCAGAATTGTATTATGACAGGCACCATGGATGTACTGAGGATTTATTATTTGACTCACCTTATATTTGCATCCTTGACCTTGAAATGGACAGTTGATGGTAGAAGACGACAGTTTTCTTTTAAATGCTTCTCGAGGTCACCACGGGCTAATCTTTCTGGGTCACATCGATTGGGACATGTCACGGGGTATTTCAAACAGTGATGGAGATGTGTCTGCAATAGATATTAATACATTAGGAAGATCAACAATGTGGCTTCAAACTACCTACTGTAAAATACTTTATTTTCGCTGAAGGAATGATTCAGTGAAAATAAAATCCAGTGACTATACATTTTCAACTTGTCAAAAATCAGTGAAAATGAATTCCATACAAAACACTCAAAAAGTCTTTTCAGCGAAATTTTATTCCAGCTAATATAAAGTATTCTACAGTATCAGTTCATATAGATCTTTTTCAAGTTGGGAGCCCTCACAGTTTCCTTTAAGAGAGGCCTTTCAGGTGCACTCAGAAAGTGGTTCCTGGGTGAAGCCATATTTTTGTTGTATGAATATTATTGTCATCAATAATATCAACTTACGCTTATGTTACTAATTCGGGACATATTTAGGCAGAGAACTCTACACTATTAAGATATGTGGCAGTTTTGAATTTACAAAGCATGACAATTAACCTTTTACCACCAGACTTTCTCGCCCAAATTCGTCTGCACATTTTTTTTATATTCTTCAATATTTCTGGAAATGAACCCTAATTTTTGAACCAACAGACAAAATTTTTGTAAATTTTCAGTTTCTACTCAAAAAATTTGGTTATTTTTGTCTCAATCTCCTATTTTGTGAAATTGTGATGAAAAGAGGGAGCTGGTGGTGAAAAGGTTAAAGCCAGGTAAATGTTAAGTTGCACTCCAATCAATACTGTACTTGTCGTAGCAATATTCATCCAAAATAATTGAAAAGATTACCAACCTGTAGAGTGTCGAATATAACGTCTTTATGGCAATATTTGCATGATAACATACGCTTGGGACATTCATTCAAAGTGTGACTTGATAAATATCTTCTCTGTAATTTGACTCCACATTTATTTTCACACTGTACCTGCTGGAATTGGCAACTTCCTCTGTGACCCTAAAACATAAATAACAGAATCAGTCGATTGAAACATTTAACAAGAATGTACCGAATTCTTGTGTTTATTCTACCTTAACTCCTCACTATTTGAGGGTAAAAGTGCTTGAAGTCACATGCCTTGAATGCAGCCAGGCAGAAAATGTTATTTCTCAGCCTGCATGTAACAATGTTCAAAAATGAAATTGAAAATAAGTTGCATTTTTTCATGCACTATCTTAATCAACAAATATTGTTGTTAAATATGAATATGAATGAGTTTCAAATGTTCATGTACTGATATTTGAAAAGAGTATATTAATAAATAAGATGACGAATATGTTCTTACCCTAGTTGAAATTCAAAATGAAAAATAGATTTTTCAAGCATGGTTATTATTATTTATTTATTGAATGTTGTATTGCTATGATTTTTTTTTTGCTGTAAATTAAGAGAAACTTTTCTATGGATGCAATAAATTATTATTATTATAACATTTATGCAAATATTAGTGACAGTACAATAATCATATAAAACAAAACAAGAACACTTTGTATTTATTATTTCATTCAGTTTTGCTGATATAGGGGATAATGCAGGTTGTAAAGTCAGTGTAGCATAACAGAGTTTGATATATAACCGGTTGTGAATGAGACAGAGAAATATTGTATGGTTCAGTAACGACTGCACTAATTTGCATTCCTTGTGAAATAGAATAATAATCAGAAAGCGGTACATACAGCGCAGGTATATCTTATATAATTACTATATGTTACAGCTTAAAAGTACAAAAAAAGTTTATTGAAATATATATAATAGAAAGAATTTCAAATGTGTTAGTGTGTTTGTTTTCTCACCTCCATCATTACTCCAGTAAAATCAGCTCCACAATGTTCGCATACCACAGTTCTTCGAGGACACTCATTACTAAGGTGGTGCTTGAGAAGTTTGCGGGTAATTACCGCCGTACAATTATTGGGGCACTCGACTTGATTGTATTTACAGCTTTCTAAGTGTGACTACAGATTGAATTATAAAAACAAATGTTAACTTATGTTTACTTTGTAACTAGACTGTATTCAGCCTGTTTGTATTCCTAAAACCATCCGTCAATATGAACCCACAATCATATTAAATTTCCAGGGTGGGGTTCTAAAACTATTTTCTCTCCTGTAAAGCGGGCGCCTTTGTTGTCACTCTCACCTTCAAATTTTCCAGTTGATCAATCCATTTACATCCATCTTTGTAATAGCTACATCTGATCGTCAAGGCAACAATTTCATCTGTCATGTCATCATCAGGATATATCTACAAGATGAATAATTATTATTGATAATCATGCAGTGTGAAATTCTCGAAATGCAATTGGGAAAATAACGCTACTGGTAATTAATATTTTTTGAGTTTTAAATTATAATAAGAAATTATACAAAAAAACTTTGCAATGCCAAAATATGATTATGACATCACGCATTGACATCACTCAATATGTCTATAATCATTATAATTATGCTAGTTCCAGGGATCATTTCAATTATCGACAGTGTTATCAAAAACCTTTCTGATGCTGTATCACGATTTGAACGTGGTTTTTGGTGCTTTAAGGCCATGATACACAACTCAAAAAATGTTATTTCAGGTATATAACTCAATTTTGACCAGTTCACTCCATATACGCACTACAAGTATATGTCATAAATCAATTCAAAAATGTTGTGGTATATCCCAGTACTCAGCTCTAGGGGTGGTTAACTATTTTACAGATTATAACCATATTTTATCTGACAGTTACTCTGTCTAATTCTAATGAATGTCAAACTCTAGAATTGTATAGAAGGTCACAAGTTATGCAGGGATCTAATTTCATTGAAAGTCATGACAAATTGTCTCAACAAATGATATTTTCACTGCTACAAAACTTCACAATTTTCTCCCCAAATTATCTCTTTCAAAATAAAACAGTATTCGCTGCTGTTAAAAGGTCACAAATTTGAAGGGTTCATTTTAAAATAATTTCTCCCACGCCATATGACAATACGTAGCCCACGCTATAAATATTCTGCATTCCAATGCAGTGTGAATAATGCATGTACTAAAACGGATTGTCATATTAACTTGTGGAATTCCTCCCACAGTCAAAGAACAATGCCCATTGTGTCTTGTTAAACAATAGACTTGTGCAGCACAATAGATTTTGAGTGTACATGTGTAAACTTCTTGTACAGAAGTGTGATAAAACTTAATCAAATCTATAAAATTATAGTCTGCAATGACTATTTATTAATTTATTCAACATTCCGTGTCATACACCTGTATGGACAGTAAGTATGGATTATACCATTATAAGATGAGGCGGGGGTGGATTATCTATACTAGAGTGGGTGGTTGTTTTTTTTAAGTCGGATTATGTCTCATGACCTGCTCAAGTACCGTGACCTTTTACAAAGCACTGCTAAATATCTACACAGTTCCATTGAAGATACTGATCGCAATTATTATAGTCACGTAATTTGGTTAAACATTACCATCTAAGGTGAACCCATGTTGACAGTTCAAAGACCTGACGATGAATTTCAGGATTTTTCCCATATCAATATTTGTAAATTGATTGAATTTTTCTGTTATTTCTCTGTTAGGCCAGACTTTTATTATCCCTTGTTTCGCGAACCCGCCCAATGAACAGGAGCCGAAAATGAAATAAATAAAAAATTTTATTTCAGCATAATTTCTCGCGCCCGCCGACTTGTGAGTGCGAAAAATTGCTAAAAAAATTATTTTTGACTTCATTTTTTTTCTGCCCGCCGCATAACAAACCCAAGTTGCATTTTCGTGGGAGTATCATGATCAAAGTACCGAAGTCTCGCGCAGATGAGAAACAAGGTTATACATGGAATACAATTTTATTTCATTTCTTCTCTCCGATCAATGATCTCACTTACAATTCTTTGAGAGTCACACAAATCTAATGGAAACAAGAAGCCTCTCGGCTGAGATAGCTCCACTGTTAGCAATGCACATTTCGATTAAAGAACAGAAGATATCATTAGAAAATGAACAATATGCATAGTATCAATGCAATGGGACTTGCTGTTTTCAACAAGAATTCAAAAATATCATTTTTGACCATAAATGCTTGTGGTTTTTAACAAGAAGAAAATATCACTTTTTACCAAAATTACAAAATATTCATCAAAATTAGAGAATTGA